TTAAAAGTTCAAGATTTGTTTATGAATTCAAAATGATGCAAGCCTTTGAGCAATTTTCGCTTTATTGTAAAGAAAGAAACAGGTAGGAACGACCCGAAACATCAAAGTTATAGATGATTCTCCATCCTTTCAATTTCGTAAAACTTCATCATGCAAATTTACTTTTAATATATTGAATATATCAGCTGCAGAAGTAATCTATGAATTTTTCGTTCTAATTGGAAATTTTGCTGCGCTATGCAGCCTTTTAATAATTCAAAAGATCAATATTTTTTTTTAGTATTAGTGGATATAATAATCATAGTTGGAGTAATTGGTTTTTGTGATAATAATGCAATAAAATAGTAGTAGTAAGTAGTGTAAGTATTACAAAATCTTTTTATAATTTACTGGGATCATCCATCAGTCTCAACCGAATAAAATGAAGGCTCGAAATGAAAAAACTTTATAAACTAGCCTGCTCCACTTGTTTGTTTTTTGACGGGTCTTTTGAGAAATAGATAAATATCGTATTTATTTAACTTGTCTTCTAAATTAACTACCCGCTTAAGAGTTGAGAAATAGTTTATAATTTATGATTAATTATCGCCATTATTATTAATCGATATTCTTTATATTACATAATAAGGGATTATCAATTTGCAACTCTCTTATTAGTTCACAAATAAAGATAAATATATATTTTTTAAATTAAACGGGAATTAATATGGACACTTATTAATTGAAAGAGGTATAGGATGAAAGTTTAGAATTCGCGTGAAATACATAAAAGAAAAACGTATAAATTGCAAATCCTGAACTTGATATAAATAAATCAAAATAAACAAATGAACCATCTGGATAAAAAATTGTATTATGAATAGAAGCTCTATTTCGTGGGAATGACCTAGTTTTGTGTATTAGTGATAATGTCGAGAAAATGCTCAATTTACAGTATAGTTTTTTTTAAAAATTTCAGTTTCAGATATAAGATCTGTTTAGGTTTCAATGATTTAAACGATGGGCTTTAGAAAAGAGATAGCACAGCACATAGTTTTAAAAATCATTATCAATCATTTATTATTTTTTAAATATAAATATATTAATTTGATAGAAAGAATTAAAAAAATATCTTGAATACTAATACTATGATGGTCTATGAAATAGTTGATTAAATAGTAATAGTAATAGTAATAGTAATAGTAAGATAATCGACTATTTAGGATTGTTATTATCATAATTTCTATAACAGTATTAAGTATAAATCATATAGTTGTATTTAGAAAATTTTATTATTATTATTCCAAACCTCGGATAAATTTCTACTGCAATCATTGATGCTTCTCACTATAACATTGAATTGATGTAATAAAGTTTCCAATTGATGAATATTTTCTCGAGTACGTGAATTTATATGATTTGTTTCTAGTGAAAAGGGAGGTTGCTGAATAAAGATTTGAGAATGTTGTTGTTGCTGTGTTGGTAGCGATGGCAATGATGTGAGTTGTGGATGTTGGGATAGTAAATCATTGGGAT